GGGAAATGTTTGAAAGCACAGGCCAAGAGCAGGAAGGCAGCAGAACTCCCAGCAGTGTCAGCAGGAGGAGGCATTGATGTGGAGGGACAGAGGCTGGGAGAAAATCCTGTCGGGCCTGGTGGCAGCGAGGAGAAAGTACGCGGTGGGGGCAAAGATGGAAGGAAGGGGGCCTCCCGCCTGTAGACCAGCCCCAAACACACACACAGACACACACAAACACACACAGCCTACTGCAAAACAGCCCCTACCCCCTGCCATGACCTCCCATGGTGGTTCACCTGGCCAGGCCCTAGAACCGCCAGGCCCAGGCCCTGAGTCACTGTGTGGGCTTGTGTGAGGCAGCCCTCTTCTGCCTCCGAAGGGCCCCACCCACCTGGCAGAGCGGGTAGGACTGGGGGCCTGGCAGCGGACCAGATGGGGCCATCCTGGGCAACTCTCAGACAGGCACCCTGGCTAGGAACTGCCTGCAACCTCCACAGGCCGCAGGAAGCACGCCCCAGTCAAGCCAAGCATCAACCGTCCAAAGCAGTATTGAACAGATCATTGGGAAACTACAGATCATCCCCAAATTTCACCCAGAACTCCAGCCTGCCACCACCAGCAAATACCGGAATTGATCACTGGAAGCTCAAATCAACAGCTTGGAGCCTCCTCTCTCGCTCCCTTCCCCACCCCCACCTCCATCCCCACCCCCCCCACCGCCCCCCCAGCCCCAGGAGGGAGGGAGGCATCCTGGGTGATCCATTTACTGGGTAATTAGTAATTCCACTCTCCAATCCTCCTGAGTGCTCCAGAGGAGCCGGGTAACCCCTGCCCACATTGGAACCCACCCCCCCACCCCGAGCATCCCCACCCTCTCACTCCTGCCAAAGTTAAAGTGGTCCCCTCTGCCCCAAGCCTCTCAAGCCAGCAGGATCAGCCACTCAGCAAATATTCTCCAGGAGTAATTGGATGTGATGGAACGAGGGCTTTTCAGCTCCTGAGTGGAAGTCTCTGAATGTCATTTAATGGCACAAAACATAAGAGGCCCAGGCCTCCCGCCTACCAGCGCCAGGACGTCATTAATCTTGGTGGAAGGGCGTCAGTGCCTCTGTCACTGCAGCCGGCCCTGCAAAGCGCCAGACAAATTACAGACCTGAGCCGGGCGCTCGATGGGGCAGTTAGTAGGCTGCCGTTCAACTTTTGTTTTTTCTTCGGGGTCACTGTCCCCTGACAAGAAGCAGCGGTGCCCCTAGGGAAAGGGGTGGGCGATGGGGAGACAGGGAAGGGGTGGCCGCCTTGGTTAGACACAACTCACCCACCTTGGGGGACAGGGCAGCTCCTCACCAGTAGAGGCTCAAGCAGCTCAACTCATAAAACAGCTCAGAGGAGGCCGCCCCCAAGTCTCAGGACACCCCTGCCACTTGTTCTCCAGCCTGCCTGAATGGAGGCCTCCCTCCCAGTGGGGGCTGGGAAGCCCCCACTTCCTGGGCTGAGAGGGAAACACTTGAGGGCCCTCTGAGGACCCAATGGCAAGTCAGTTGGGAATGTCCCTTGGCTAGAGCGAGGACACACGGGGAACACTGCATCCCGTGCCATTGGGAAGTCTTAAGAGTGGGCCTGCCAAAGAGGACAGGCGCGATGCTAGGGATGGGACCCCATCTGCCAGGAGCTGCAAAGTTGTGCTCCTGGCCAAGGTCACTCTGCGAAAACCTAGCTTGTTACTAGTCCAGTGTTCATTACCTTGTATTATCAACCCGTTGAGGGTGGGAGTAGGGCCTCAGTGCAAGCAAACCCCCCATGAGCAGCAGACAGGAGGTGGGCTGTCAGCTTGCCCTCAGCCCAGAGCTTGCCCATTCCAGCAGAGGAGCTGTCCACCCCATCCTCACGAGGCCTCCAAGGGGGAAGGGCTGGACCAGGAGAATATTTCTCAGTCCTGGGATGCCTGTTCAACCCTGATAGGCCCACCAGGCCTGTCCAGGCCCATGTGATGAACCACTCCCAAACAGTGCTAAGCCAACCCCACAGACTGGGGAAGCCGGGGGCAGAGAGTGACCGGCAAGACCTGCCCCAGGGCAATTCCCGAACATTCTAGCTATTGCAGCCCCTGGGACTCAAGCTCGGCAGATGAGTTGCTGAAATCCTGGAGCCCCTCTCCCAATTGTTGAAGTCACTGTCTAGGAGAGATCAGGTACACACAAACCCCTGATGGCTTTAGGTAAGCTTACCCAGCTCTCCCCTTGGCCCATTTCTGGAACATCTCTCACATCTAATATCCTTCATCGCCAACATCTTCCCTGTTGGCACCAACCAATAGGTGAGAGACTGGCCTGTAGGCGCAGCGGCGGCATAAGCCTTCGCGGGATGGGAACGGTGCCCCCTAGGGTTGTGCAGGGAACAAGCGGCACGTCAGATACGGTGGCCTGCCCTGAGGACACCAGGCCTCCATGTTCCAGCCACTGCTCGGCTCAGGAAACAGGCTCAGACCCCCTCCTCCTCTCTCCCTCCAGAGGCATTTGCAGGGCACTCACTACCCCTGCCGTGGGCCTAGGAAAAGCCCATCCTGGGTGGGCCCAAGGGTGCAAGGGGAGGGGCCCGAGCACAGCAAGCAGCACCGCCCTCTCTGCAGCTCCGGGACAGGACAGAGAGTGCCACACAGGAAGGGACTTTCCTCCACATGGTGACCACGAAGCCACAGCCTCCCAGCTCCCCATCTCTCCCCACACACACACACCCCTGAGGGTCTGACTCACCCCTCTTCCTTCTAGAACTTGCACAGGGTCAGTTCCTCTTGCCCTTTGTGGCAGGAAACGGGGGTGTGAGGAGTCACGGCCAAGCCAGGGGAGGAGACGGCGGGAGGCTAGCAGCCAGCACGCTGTACCCGCTCTCCTGAGGGACGCAGGGGCTGGTTTGCGGAGCTGCCCGAGAACCACAGCGTCGTCGGAAATGTGACCAGGAAGGAGGAGGAAGGAGGAGGCTCCCAGGGCACTCCGAGCTCCATCAAGAGAAGCGCTCTGAGCTTGGGGAGGGCAAAGTCTGCAAGATCTCCCTCAGGGCACAGGGGATTTCTTTCCACCAACTTGCCCTGATCTCGTGATGAGAGTTTCAATTCCCTCCTGGCCACCAAGGTTTCTTCCTGCCCTACTCGGTGGGGAAGGCCCCTTTGTCCCCAGGCCTGTCACACACCAGTTCACCCATGAGCCCTTTTCCTGGCTCGCACACGCGCGTGTGCACGCACACACACGTACAAGCACACAAACATACACACACTTTCCCAGGATCATGATACCATAGTTCTTTTCCAGCCAGCCAGGCTTTCCGGGTGTGAAGGCCACGCCAGACCAGTGCCTCCCTGCCTCCCCTCCCAGTGGAAGACCCCACCGCACTCAGTCACCCACCTGTCACCCAGCAGCAGTCTCCCCCAAAGAGAGGCTTTCCCAGGGCCCAGCACCTCTCTCCCTAATCTGAGCGTGCAGTCACCAGATCGGACCTGCGGGAACCCAAAGAGGCCCTTTCCTCCATCCCTGCCCCTCAGAAGCCTCCTCACCGGAACCCCATCTTGTGCCCCATCCTCCCATCTGTGCACTAGGGATAAAAATAGTCTCCCCTGGTGAGGATTAACTGTATGAATATGCATGGAGTTCCCGGCACATATGAAGCACTATATGGATGTGTTATTACTATTATTATTATTTGCATTATCATTATTATTGTCTTGTTTCTTTGGATTAAAACATTTTTGTTTTCCTTGAAAACATCTTTGAAGTGCAAACAGCCCGTGGCGGGGAAGGATGATAAGTGGAGTAAGAGCACCTGGGGGACTTCTGTCTTCCTTGTTGAAAAGGGTAGCGGGTGCAGACAGAGGACCACAGGCCGAGAAAGGGCAGCTCTAAGAGGAAGGCGAGACTGCCAGCTGTCGTCCTGCTCGCTCTGGGCCTTAGAGATTACTCTCCTCTGCTGGGCCGGGGCCTATCAGTTACTGCCTAGCTTTGCCCCGGGCAAGGTCTTCCCTGAGCACTCCGTCCACCCCGGGAAGGTGGGTAGATTTAGCCAAAAAGAAAAAGAAAAAAAATACAGGATGCCCAGTTAAATTTGAATTTCAGACAAACAAAGAATGACTTTTTAAGTATGCTTCATGCAATACGTGGGACAGCCTTACAAATTATTTGTTGTTTATCTCAAATTCAAGTTAAGCTGGGCATCCCGGATTGTAGCTGGCAATCATGCGCAGAGGGTGCCAGAGGCCCAGGCTTTGGGAAACAAGAGCGTGGGAATACACTTGTGACCACTTCCCTCAGCTTCTCCCCAGTGCCCAGGGCTGCACCCTCCTTGCCCTGCTGCCAGGCCTGTCCACACTTGCCCCAGAAGAGGCACCTCCCCCCACACCCCTGTGCTTTCTCCCCTGGAGGAGCACCTGGGCACCAGCCGGGGACTTCTCACCCATACTCTGCTCCCGCAAGATCCAGATGCTTAGGAGCAGGGAGAAGCCTAGCCATATGCCCTGCCCCTCAGCCTCTGCCACAGCTGGGGTTCTGGGGAGGAGACTGGAAGAAGGACATGGACACTTGGGCCAGTCTCAGCCCCAGCAGCTGGGGTGACCAGGTGTGAAGGAAAGAAGCATTAAGGCCTCAGTCCTGGGGTCAGGAGAGACTGTGGAAAAAGAGGGGTGGGTGGAGGAAGCGGGCAGCCCACCCGACAGGCCACTTCCTTTCTGCCCGTGAGTGAGGAGGCAGAGTTATGCCAAATAAAGGGCCCTGGGGAAGGAGACTAAAGGCAGTCCTTGACCCAGTCCAGACTCAGTCCCCGTTGTTCCCTGGAGAGCAACCTCTTTCCAGACACTCTGCTAACATCCCACGAGGACCCAGAAGGCGCCCCCGGGCACTCTGACACGCTCAGCCCAGTGACCAAGGTCCTTGCTTGCTGTCTCCACTTCCCCAGAGCTGGCCTCCCTGTCAGGCCCCACCAGCTCCCAGTCCATGGTTGTCCCTCACTGCCTTCCTCTGGTCTGTTTGTCCTTCCAGGCTCTTGGAAAATGGACAAATTCCTGAACCGCTTCCACCTGAGCGAACCTGAAGCAAGCACCCAATTCATGACCCAAAATTACCAGGACTCGCCCAATTACCAGACCACCGGAGCCGGAAACAGTGAGCCGAAGGATAAACCCAAGTAGAGATAACTGCCTGCCAGACATCAGGCTTCACGCTGAGGGTGTGTGTGTCCACGGTGCCCACCAGCGACAGTCTGGGTATGGCACCCCTGCTGGGTATGGCACCCCCTCTGGGTATGGAACCCCTTCTCTTCCAAATTAAAAAAAAAAAAAAATCATCCAGGGCTTACTGGTTAGATGTGTTCTTTCCTAACCTGTTGTCTTTCAAAAACTAAGAAGAAAGCAATCACCGTCCAGCACTGGGAGCTGGGGCTTTCCTATAAACGCAAGTGTGTGTATGTGGCGGGGGGAGGAGGGGGTGCTGGGAGAGATGGATAGGCAGGAGGTGAGGGTCCCTAGGCCTCAACTGTCACTGAGGCACTGTGGCCTCAAGTAAATCACATGTCCTCTCTAAAGTTCTGCTCCCTCAGTTGTGAAATCAAGGTAGGAAGGAGCCTTGGGGCAGTTGGTTTATCACCACGGTCCCTTCCAACTCTGACATTCAGCATCATTCGTTCGGCAAATATTGTCGGCACCTGGTATGGGCCTGACCTTTTTTTTTTTAAGATTTTATTTATTTATTTGTCAGAGAGGGAGCGAGCACAAGCAGCAGGAACAGCAGGCAGAGGGAGAGGGAGGAGCAGGCTCCCCACTGAGCAGGGAGCCCGATGCGGGGCTCGATCCCAGGACCCCGGGATCATGACCTGAGCAGAAGGCAGACGCTTAACGACTGAGCCACCCAGGCGCCCCTGTGCCTGACCTTCTGCTAGGTGCTGGGGATACATATGTGAACAGGGCAGACAAAACCTAAGGCTTGCTTCATAGAGCTTACAGTCCAGGATGAGGGGAAACGTTCATCAGATGACCACAGGCAAATGACAACAAATGTGGCGCATGCTGTGAGGGTATAAGGAGACCTGCTCTGTGGTGGAGGGGCACAGTAAAGCCCCAAGCGAGGCCTCTCTGAGGAAGTGCTGTTTAACTTCAGGGCCGAAAAGTGTGGTAAAGGTTAACGGCGAATGGGGCTGGGGGTTGGAGCCCATGCCAAAGAGAGGGAACACCACCTCCGAGCTCCCGGGGCTGGTAGGGGCTCGCAGGGCATCTTGCAGGCCAATAGCATGGCCACCCAGACAGATGGGCAGAGACCAGAACACTCCAGGCCTTGCAGCCATGCTGAAATTTTGGATTGTACACTGAAAGCAATGGAAACCATTGAATAATAAATAGATTGGAGGGGAAGAAAGGGTACAGTCTGATTTACGCTTTTAGAAAACTATGAAGGTACTCCTTGGTGTGTGCGAGGCAAGGATTTTTGGGGCCTAACTCCCCTGGATGTCTTCTGCAGGTCACTTGGCTTTCCTACCCAAGGCCCCCTTGGAGGTACCTCTTTTGCTGCGGTCTCATTCACGCACTGAACTCTGGTTCCTTGACGACCCCACCCCCAGCTCCAGTCCTCTTAGCACCCCCATCCTCTCCCCAGCCGCCCCCCCAACTCAGTTTCCCTCCAAGAGTTAATAACCGCCCCCCTTGGCCGGAAAACAGCAGTGTTGGTGACTCATGTGTACACAGTGCCTTGAGATCCCCAGATGAAAGAGCAGGCTGCAGCTGGGCGCAGGGTTATTACCTTCTCAGAGCCATGCCCCACACTAGCTGGAAGGCAGAGGGGCCCTGGCCAACCCCTCAGCCCAGCTGAGCATATCTTCACTAGTTGGAAGACATGAGTGGTGGGGGGATCTGAGAACATGATGAGGTGGGAGACTGAGTCTGTGAAGGGAATTGGACAATGCTTCCCCGCCCCCCCCCCACATTGATAGACAGCTCCCCCGCCAGGTGGTGGACACTAACTTCTTGTTCTGTAGAAGGGCCTCTGATGCCGGCCCAGGCGGTAGGAACTCCCCACTCTCTTCTACCCACCAGGCAAGCTTGTCGGCAGGGCTAAAAGGAGAAGCAAAAGGAAGTGTCCGTTTGCAATGTCATGGAAGGCAGCCTGGGAAGGGACGTTCTGGGTGTGTGTGAACCTCACACCCCTGGGCCCTTCTCCCTGCAGCCCCCACCCCACCAGGCCCGGAGTGTAATTGGCAGCTTCGGTTAGTGCCCAAGGCCGGGATAAATAGCAGGTCAGCTTACTAGAGCAGCCCCAAATCGAGACACATCCTCCCCTCTTCTGCTTTTAATTCCTTGTGGCTAGCATGTTTATTTTGGGTGAGGAAAAAAAATCGGATGTTTATCCTTCGAGGAAATTATCGGCTTGCTTTCCTTCCTCCCCCCCCCCTTCCTCTTTTCTTTTCTCCTGGTGTTTTGGGCTTTGAGTTCAGCTGCAGGAGAGACCCCCACCCTCCTGGCCCCAAAACGTGAAAAAAGAACAAAGCTGGCCCGGGCTCGAGGCTGAAGCCAGCCCTGCCAGACAGTCCTCAAAGCCACAGAGAAGGAGGTCCAGTGCCAGGAAAGGGAGGCATGAGGGCCAGGGACACCTTGGGAAACCCACCCTTGACTCCGCTCTCTGCCCGCACAAGATCCTGGGCCTCTTGCCCCTTTTCTTTTCACTGCCTCCTCCAGGAAGGAACAAAATGAGCACGTAGATTGTTTTGAGATCTCTAATGAAGCAGCTAAGAAATGTAGTGAGCCCTTTGCAGGGATCGGAGTGCGGACATTATCATCATCGTGATCAGATAGCGTTTGCTGAGTGCTTTCTGCAGGCCAGGCTCTGCGGTATCTCATGTAATGCACTCCTGCCCTGCTTCCGGGCCCCCCGTGCGGGTTCTCTCCATCACCATCCCAGCAAGCTAATAACACCAGGGCTCCTGGTCTCATTTTATAGAGGAGGAAACTGACATTCCCAGGAGTCAAGGAACCTCCTCCCTGTTCTGTAACGAGTCGTGGTGGCGTCTGTTGTTAACTCTGAGCCTGTCACTCTCAGTAGTCGGGGAGACACAGTGCTCTCCTTTTACTCCCTACGCTACATAAAATAAAGGCCAGACCTTCTATTTATTCAGAAGCCAGGTGGGCCGAGAAGGAAGGCTGGAAGTCCCGGAAGAATTTAAGGGGAGTCTCACCCAGCATCTGCCCTTCCACCCAGCTTCAGCTCTTCTAGACCAAGTGTGATCTGCGGGAGGGCCAGCTCCTGGACACTGCAACAGCCCGGCCCGGCCCCCCACCACACCTGCCCAACACGGCTACCCCAACAGTTTACCACCCTCAACCCGTGGAATCACCCCTCTCCCCAAGAAGCTCACCTGTGTGACTACTGCTCTCAGGGAAGGGAGAGAGGTAGAAAAGGAGGGAGAGAAAGCCATATGGGAAGACTGCCTGACCGAGACGATGATGATGGTGGTGGTGGGTCCAGGTTACAGCTGAGCAGCCGTGGGCTAGAAAGCGAGCCTGGTAGAAGCCTTAAGTGGTGTCGTTTACAAAGCACACCCAAATTCACATAGACTCTCTACCATTGATAGCCCCGTGACCTCAGGCAACTTCCTCAACTGTTCTGGACCTGTGTTTCAGCTGAAAAAAAAAAAAAAAAAAAAAACAGTATAATGAGAAATGCATGGAAATAAGTGCCTTCCTTAAAGATCTGCCGCTCCGGTTAGATGAGAGAGCAGGCGAGGCACCCAGACGCAGTGCTTGGCGTGCAGACTGTTCAGTGAAGGCGTGTTTTCCTCTCCTTCCCTGCCTCCACCTCACCTGCTCTGCTCCCCACCTGGGCTGGAGCAAGCAGTGTGGCTTCGGGGAGTGGGAAAGAGCCGCCCACCCCAGATGAGAGTCCCTCCCAGGAGTCCCATCAGAGTCTCAGAGGCCCCCGGGGAAAGGGCTGGCGGCCAAGGGATCCTCAAGCCCCAGCCCGGCATCCCCCTCCCAAGCTCAGCAAAACATTGGGAGGCTTGGATCAGGGAAGAGAGCCCAGTTCCTTAGCAACTAACAAGCATTTCTCTGTAAAGACAAAGACCCTTCACTCAGAATGCTCCTTCCACCCCCCCCACCCCACCCCACGCCTCTCCAGGTGTCTGATGCACTTTGCAGGAGTGGGGCTAGGGGCTGCCCACCCCCCAACCCGAGATCTAGGGGCCTTTTGCCCCACCCTCCCGGCCATCCTGATATTACCTGTAATTATCCCACAGCACCTTTCATCCTGGTGCTAATTAACTTTCCCGGTCCCCCCCCCCCGGAGCTGCTGGGGGACACGGGAGGCATGCATACACACACGCGCACACATACACAGGTGCCCATGTTTCCCCCTCAGAGACCCTCGCTCCATTTTCGAGACCAGGAAACTAAGGTTACAGAGAGGAGCTGATTCCTTGAGGGTTCTCATCTGCCTCCTCAGTACTCGGAAAGAGAAACCGGAGCTGAATAGGCTAGCTCAGGGAGAGGGAAGGACAGGTCCCCCTGAGCATCCTGGGGGAAGAGGGACCGGGAAAGAGAAAAGCCTTTGGAAAAGACTGAGGAGAACTGTGCCAGGACAGAGGTTTGGCTCCGAGTACCACTTTGGTGCCACCGAATGCCAGCCGTCCTGCTTAACACAAAGAGGACATTTCAAAGGGAAAAAAGGAAATAGTTCAATAAAAAAGGAAAGGGAGAGAAAGAGGCAGAAAGAGAAGGAAACAGAAAAGAAAGGCATGGCCATCTGGTCTGACGTAGCTAGAAGGACTGCTGGCCGGGAGGGGAGGCCCGATTTTAGTACCATTCACTGCTGCGTGAGCCTGGACAGTCAGCTGCCCTCTCTGAACCTCTCTAAAATACCCCGGGTCGGGTGTTCTCTGAGGTCCCCCCTCCCCAGCTGAATATTCTGCAACTCTATGTGTTTGTTTTGAGGAATGGTATAGAAAACCGCTACCACTGTCTCTTTGGTTGGGCAGGAGTAGGAGTAGGTGAGAAAAAGCCACCAGAACAGGGTAGAACCTTGGGATTGAGAATCAAAAGACCCAAGTGCATTTGGCTGCAGAAAACCCTACTGGCAGGGCCAAACTAAAAAGAGGTTTGCCGATGTGGGGAGCTAAAGACCTTGGGATTTCAGGAGAACTTGTTCCCAG